CGTGGTTATGGGAAATGACTTCTTACCTTGTTTTGGAGAAGTTAAGATAAGAGGTAGAGTTAAGGAAATAAGGGACACTTACATGGATATTTTGTAAAGTAATCGAGCTGAGATTACTGAGTGAAATGGAACAAACAGCAGCATGTAATAAGATAAATATTAAGTTATTTTTAAGAGTGTCTTAATTTATCTAGGCTTTTGATTTTGAAAAAAATTTTTTGATCTGTGTATTACTTTTTTTTGTTTTTTACTGAACTTTATTTTATTGATTGTGGGCACCAAATGACTGAAATCATTTTTTTATGTCTCATAAATATACTGTTTAAAAAAAAAAAAGAAAAAGAGAGAGGACAATAAGAAGTGCAATTTTTTTTGGACTGAACTATTTTACATACGTTTACATCGCAGAACCAAAAGATGTTAGTCACTCCTCGTCATGTGAACCCAGGTTGGTCTCGGTACTCGTCCAGGATGCTGTTGACAGATCTGATGATTTTTCTCCTCTTCGGAACAAGGAAGCAAATTTCCATTTTTCACAGCAACAAACTGAAGCATGGATTGCTTCAAGCAATACATACTTAAAAGTTTTGCCACAATATTTCTTGTTGATCATGACGACAATCAATTCAAATCTTATCACGATAAAGAATTTGTCACGATAAATTCCCCAACACACAACCACACAAACGTCCGTGTGTGTCAGAGACGGGCGTCTCTCTGCAGAGCTGAGACTTCGCTCATACGACCACTTCAGGATTTATTTCTGGACGCTTCAGCAGAGCGTGAAGTGACAGCAGTTTTCCCGCTGGGATTTTATTGATTGTGGTTGCATGACAAGTTCACAAGCAGAGCTGTTTGAAAGCTTGAAGGTCACACAGATCTATGTGTGACTCCTGACTTTGGCCTTTATGCATGGAGATTTCTTTAGAATCTCTTGATTCTCACCGGACACACGGAAAGAATTTGGTTCTTCTAAACAGTTTCTTTCCAGCTGACGGATGAATAATCCTCCTCGCTTTTCTGTGCGCTGGATACTCTCTCGGTTTCATTCAATTCAGATTATTTACATTGCGCCAAAGAAGTTGTTTTACTTCAATCACACATACATACTAATTATTATTAGTCACTAAACGGTGCATTAATCTCAGTTTATTAATCAGCAAAGCGTGAAATTAGCTTAAAAAGTTTCTAAAGAAACCCAAAATATTAGAAATACACTAAAAGATACAAATAATTCAGTTACTTCATAAGAATTTTTTTTTCCCCAAAATGTAATATCACAGCATTTCTTTAGCGAACACTTGATAGTTTGTAGCAAAAAAAAATCTGATTTATTGAAAATGTTTTAGAGCAATAGATAGCAAAATGATTCATAGATTTATTTGTATGTAGAATTTGAACCAGGTGAAGCTAAAAATGCCTTTTGAGGAGTTTTAGGTAGAAGATATTTACTGACAAATATTTGGTTTTCATCTTAAATCCAAAACGTATCTATTTTTTGTACAGTTTTGGCTTAATTTAATGTTTTGACTGTGTTGTTCTTTCAGAAAAAAATGTCGTTTTTGGAGGTCTGTGCCCTACAGCTAACGACTAATCGATTACTCAGTTAGCTTACAATTCTTTCAATAACCGATTAATCACAACTAATTCTATTAATCGTTTCAGAACTAGTTTATCTCAGACGATGACGAAGAAGTTACCACAACCAAACAGAACGCCAGACCAGGTGAGAGAAAAAAGTCAACAGCAAAAAACACAAACTGGAGAGCAGTAGGAGAAGAAAGTGTGACTGAAGAAAGTAGAACTCTCTTTTTCCATGCGTTTTTCCCGCCATCGAATTTTGGATTCGTTTATATATTCTAAATAACGTGAGATATGCCGCTAAAGGAAATCATAGGTTGTTTGTGTTTTTGTTCTTTTGGTGTGTTAGAAAAACAAAGGTTTGCATTGTTTTCTTGAATAATTCAATAAACAGTTGAGGATTTAAAAGAAAAATGATAGACTTCTGCATCCCACTGAGTGGCTTTGCTGCAGGTGGTTTAAAGAGACACAATCAATAAAATGCGTTGCCTTACAGTGGCAGGGATGTGTTTGGTGAGGAAGCTGCTGTGACAGAAAAGGCTCCACTTTCCCACAGCACAAACAACATAATGAAATTCTCCACCAACAGCAGTTCTTTTCAGGTGTCGTTGTTCTGCACAATAATGTGCCGTTAGCTCAGATTCAGAGCTATTTCAACTTTAATGTTGTGCACCGTGCAGTTCATAACTCTCCGTTTTTAAAAGGAGAATGAAGAATAAGATCCAACGCCTGGATAGCAGTGGCAGAACAGCAGTGTTTAAGATTTGGAATCAAGTTAAATTTAACATGGTGCCACTCTTCAACTCTTCCACATTGTGTCACGCTACAACCAGAGAACAATGCCGTTGATCATTTTGTGATCGACTACAGCAAAGCAGCGCATTATTTCAGTTTTTTTTATAATAAAAATCTGCAAAATGGGGCGAGGATTTGTATTCTCACACACTGGATCGATATTTTGTAAATCGACCTTTGTCTGTGTTTAACATGCGTAAAGCTGGTTTGTGTCTGCCAGCTTTACGTCCCCTCAGCATGATGCAGCCACAGCTATGCTTCACAGTGGGGGAGGCGTATTCGGGATGATGTAGAGTGACAGGTTTCTGACTCACAAAGTAGCTGCGTTTTCATTGCATAAAACTTTGTTGATATTCTGCTAATGTCAAAAAAGAAAAAAAAACTATTTAGCAACTGTGGTGTTTCCATTAAATAAGAAAATCACACATGAACAAGTTTGTTCACGTGATAAGTTACTAAAAAGCATGCCTCGCCACCATCCTTCAACTACTTCCTGTCGTCTTCTTCTTCGTGGTTTTTGTCAGTAGTAACATTTGACTGTTGATCATGCGGCTTGTGTGATGCAAAAAAAATTTTCATTCCAGCTTTGAGAAAAAACCTGCCTCATTCCAAACGCCAAAACTTTTGAGCGAAAACAAGATTCTTTTTTTCAAAATTGGTGTGTTTTCATCAGGTTCATTTATTTTTGCATTTCCAATTTGTGCCATTTTAAGGTCGATGCATATGCACCTGTGGACCATAAAACTGTGTAAATTGAAATTACAAAATTAGGTACGCTTTATGGAAACAGTTTGGAAAACACTAATTGTTCGAGAACAGTTTTTGAGAATTATTGGATCGAAATGTGCGTATTCTGCAAAACTGCAGTGGAAACACTTTTTTTTTTTACCTCTTCACACAAGTTTGCATACAGAAGAACTCTTCTGTAATATCACCAACTACAATTTCCAAAGAAGCTGCATGAGAAGCCGCTCCCGAGTATGAGAGGTTTGTTGCTCCAATGCCTGAATAAGACGTCGACGAGTGGTAGCGCTCTGTGAGAAGTTCACAGACCTGAATACAAATTTTTAAGAAAAAATATTGGAAATCTTGAATCGTTCTTCAACTTCACAATTATCTGCTACTTTTTTGGTGTAAAATCTCAATAAAATACATTGAAATTTGTGATTTTAGTGGGAAGTCTAATATAATCTAATGACTTCAGTACGTTGATTCCTAGCAGCAGGTGAAGAATAATTGGCCAGATGGAGAAAACGTAAGATGTAGAGGAAGAAATAATAAAAAAAAATCAAATTATGAATGAATGCACTTGAATGAAAGACATTAAAAATGGTTTTATAAGAACCTTCCAAGGGAACACATTATTTCTTCAGATAATCTGAATATATCCACTCAAGTTTGAGAAGGTGAACTTGAACACGAACCACGTCAAAGCAACAGTTAAAAGTACATCTAATGACGCATGCATGCCTTCTTTTTACTACAAAAATATACACCTGTCATGTGTTCTACAACACGACAAACAAGAACGCTTCAGATTTCCCCCCCAATTAAGCACCCAAATTAAATGAATGACTCACAGCCAAGCCTCTTTTTGAATTCAATTACATTCTAAGGAGGTAATTAATCCTTTTGATTGGTGCGATTCAGAACACGCCGCCCCTCAGGGTCCGGATTCAGACCCCCTGCTGTTCAAAACCTATTCGCCTGCTCCTTTAAAAGGTGCAATTATGTGATTTTTGGAGTGTTTTATTTTATACTCTACTACCCATTTAGTCACTTTAAGCTGTTCTTTAAAAACATTTTGTTTTGTTTCAGCCATGATTCACAGGTCTACAGGATTTTTAGATGCAATGATCACAATCAAATCACTACAGTTTATAAGCGTTGGAGTGAATGCTACGCTAGAGGAAGAGCAATATCACTGAGACCACAGCTACCTCAGCCACAGTCCTCTGCAGGTAGCTGTGTGTGAAGAAGTGCTGGTTCCCTGTTGAACGATAATCTTATCTTCGCTGAGGTCAATGTCAATTCATGTACATTTTTCTCAGTGTGTCGGTGCTTCAGCATAGTTTCCCAAGATCTATTATGGTATTAGCTATTAGACCGTGTTCACACTGACAGTATGTTGGTAGAAAATATATTTTTATAAAATCATCTGTAAATAAAGAGATTAAGTAATGTATGTGACCACCAAGTGGACCAGAGATCGCTCCAAAAGCAGGAAGTGGACTACAGCGTGGGGCATCCTGGGTAAATACAACTAAAGCAAAAGCGCTAGAGGGAGAAATGAGTAGTAGTTTTTTTTACCAACAACAACAGAGAAGTCCTACAAGCGCTAAGATCTGACGACACTCCATTTTCTGTTTAGATTTTGAGAAGAAGGAAGTTGCACTTGTCCCTTTTTCAGAAGTTTGTGTCGTTTCCTTCAATGGCTCTTGTTGCAGCACCACCCCAGGTGAGGGGGGAAAACAGGTTTTTCAAAGGGTTTGGTTGGTTTGACACACAACACACACCAGCTGAAAATATAACAAACATTGCAGTTTGGTCCACAGTAGAACTGAGTCTACCCGATCATCAGGTGTGAAAATGTTCTTAATCTTCTTTCTCTGTCTTACCTGTAGGGTGGCCCTTCTCCAACACAGTGTGCAAGATGAGTGGGTTTGTGCAGGGCGTGTCCGTGTCGGCCTCGGTCTTCACCCTGGTAGCGATCGCCATTGAAAGGTGAGTTTGACAGGTGGCTGGAATCCCACAGGACAATAATTTAACAATAATAATTCAATGGAACTTTGATTCTGCCAATCTAATTCCCTGAAAAGTTGGGTGAGTGAGTTTCAGATTAGTTCAGATTAGTCACAGTAAAAATTTGAGTCTACTGTTGAGAGATAGTAGACTCAAATAGTAGACTGAAATCATTTCTGAGTTCATGAAAAATGGCTATAGATAGTCACCAGCCGGCCTGAAGCCCTGCAAGGATAAGGGGACAGAAGCAATAGATGGGTGGATTTTTTTAACAGAACATTCTCCTTGATCTGTGCTTTCATATTTTTATTTATTTATTTTGTGGGCTTTGATGGCATTTTCATATCAATTTTTTTCAAATATAGTAATTGTGGCACAGATAATTGAAGACGTAAAGCCAGACTTTGCTGGAGGTTGCTTGTTAAAACAGTTTTCCTCTCCACTGTCGCTACATGCATCCTCAATGTGAGACACTGCTGGAAAATCAGAGACTCAACGCGCTTAGCGGAGTTTTCCTAAATATAAACTTTTTTATTTTTACCTATTGGTATAGTAAACTGAACAAACCACCTGTAATTGCTTAATTTTTTTGTTCACATAAAATAGAGGAACTATGTTTTAATAACGTCCTCATTTGCGCATTTCTGCATGGATTTTGAAGGCAGTTAAATAGGCCACCGAAAACTCTGCTAATTTAGTGTCATCACTAGTCGCTCCAACTCATTTAGGAAAAATATTTCATTAGGTCTTGGAAAGCCAGTTAAAGCAGCAGTGTATTTTATAAAAAATATATTTTTTTACATATTTGTTGAAATATCTGTCATGACAGTTTGGTATGAGACAGATAATCTGTGAGAAACGGTGAATCTACTTTGCCTTCTCCCAGCGGTATCTAGAAACAACCAATCAGAGGAGGCGGGTCTTAGCGCCGTCAATGACCCCTCTGTGTGGCGCTGCTCCGCCCTCCCTGCTTGCAGAGTTTGTACCGAGTTAGCATGGTCACTGTTGACAGTGGATAAATAGTTTTCCTGTAACGGTAAGTAGTTTCTCCACCATTAGCATGTTTAGCAGCGAGTACATGAGTATGATCCGCCTCCTGGTTCTGATTGGTTGGCTGTGGTGCATTTCTTCAGACAGCAGTAGTTGCCATAGGAGGAAGTGGAGAAGATTTCTTCACAGGTTGTCTGTCTCATAACATTTTGTCATAACGGTTTGAACAAATATGTAAGAAAACTTATTCAATCTGGAGAGACTCAGACAGAGAAAGAAAGCAATTAAAAAAGTTTAATGACAAATAAACATTAAAGTCCTTTGGCGTTCAGGCCCCGGCCGAGGACGTTGAGCTGGAACTTCGATAAGCTCGATAAACATTCCTGATGCTGCATAGGAATGTAATCCCCCCGGGGCCTGTACTGGTGGCGGTGGTCGAAGAAGGATGTGGCCTGAGGTGGGTTGATCACAGCTGGTAAGCGGAGGAGGCCATGGATGAAGGTCCTCATAAACTGGAGCTTGATCGATGATTGGCCATGCCTTGGCTTGATCCAGCGCCGATAGGTTCAGGGAGATGAGAGAGAGGCGCTGATTGATGAGGCAGGTGAGGCTAAAGAGTCTTCCAATTGAATTTGAGCCGAAGCTTCATTTCTTTATAAAAGTCGCATACTGCACCTTTAAAGAACCAGTTCTTAAACATAGAAATGTGCTGAAATGGGATTGTGTCTTGAGCCTTCCTAAGTAGTAATAAATTACCAAAATCAACCATAAAAAGAATTTTTCTAAATGAATAATCCCAGAGAATACGGTTCTTGAACCAATTGTAAATATTGTGGAAAGATTCAAACATTCTAAACATATCTTGGCACAAAAAAAGGCCAAAACCAGAACTACTGTAGGATAACAGTGACCTTTCAAGTCTGAGCTGACAGTGTTTTAGAAACTGTCAATGCATTATTATCAATATCAGACTCTGAATCCAACAAAACAAACATGTTATTCATCACAACTCTCCCACACCCACATATACGAAATCTGTGCCGAAAATCCAAATACAGATGCAGCAAATATTACGTTTCTTCATCCAGAGATTAGAGAAACACATTATTCTCAGAAGTCATGCCCTCTATTTGCCAGGGATCTAAACTGATCCATCTTCTGTAGGAAGGAACTTAGATTTCCCCTGACGACTGAAAGAAAAAGCTTGTGATTCCTCCTCCTTGCTCTTCACACACCCATCATGTCTCCACTTCTGCCGGGATGTAGAGCTGTAATCAAGGCAGGTGTGGGAATTTGGTGACCTGAAGATGCTGCCTCTCAGTGTAAACTGGGCCCCTTATTATCGCCATGGGAACGCTCCATAAGAGATGTAAAGCAAACTGTAGCTCAACAAAAAGTCAAACATTGTAAATCATTATTTCAAGCCAAAAAAAAAAGAGAGAAAATATTACAAATGTTACTGTGGGATAGCATCCAAGGACCATACTTTAGAGAAATCTATGATAAATAAGAAAACCATAGCAAACTTTTTAGAGAGGTCGCATCATCACCGTCCTAAACTAATAATAATTAAAAAAATCAACACCTCTTTCTTTCCAAAAGATGTTTTTTAAGCAAAAAAAAAAAATACTTTTGTCAAAAAATGACTGGACATTATTTAAGGAAGGTGAGGACATTAACCATTTATACAGGGGTTGCAAAGAAGGGTGCACTGATTGCAATTTCCTAACCAATTACTGAGCTTCAAAAAACCTGATTCTGATTTTGGCCGATATCGATTTTTCCTTGAAAAGTTACTAAATTGGCAACACTGAATTGACTTTTGTTAACTGGGCACATTCAGATGTGGCCTGGAGGGCGGGTCTGTTAGTCAACCCTCCTCAGTGGCTGGTTTTCAGACTATTGCAGAGGAAGATAAAATTGGCTTCTCATGTTAGAACTAGCCGATCACAGATCACCCAAAATGAAGAAAATCTATGCTGATTTTTCGGTGGCCCCGTGTCACAAACTTAAATCCTAGAGCAGGGGTGTCAAACTCAATTTCACCGAGGGCCACTTCAGCATATTGGCCAC